CTAGAATATACTGATCTACTCCAAGTCCGCAGTTGATTTCTGACGAAATTAAAAAGCAACAAGCAGGTGTTAACAAGTACAATTTGGACAGGAAAGAAGATTCTGATTTTGATGCGACTGATGGACTGTTGTCACAGTCGTGCTGAAATCCAGCAGTCGAGTTGTATTGTGGTATTTCCTTTAACTAACGACGAGGTCGCGATGACAGTGTTTTGCAATCCGTGAATACTATAAGTGACAGAGGCAAAACAGCGAATGAGGTCGAGTGGGAATTTTGTGTTTATTGACCTCGGCTAAAGTCAGCAGCGGTAAAGCTGATGAGGTCTAAGGTGGACAAAAGCCAGTACGGTCTTCAGGCCAGGTTCGGAGTAGAAGGAGAATCTATACGCCACTAGAGGTATTAATGCATTCTATACAGAATGGATGAAAAGTATGTGGGGACAGGTTGGCAGCCGGACGCAAGGCGCGCCCCGTGCCGGCCTGCCGAGCGTTTTGAGTGAAGAAGTATCCGTACCGTCTTTGGAGTTGGTTGACAAGGCGCCCAACAGAATCGTGAGGTGTCAGTGAGCGGCAGGATACGATGACAGCATCGGGACACTGACAGTTCGATCGTCATTTCCGACGACATCCACCATGTGCCCCCACAACGGGGTGCTCGCAGGGACGATAAAGTAGTTTAAAGTGATAGTAGGCACGCACAGCATCTGTCGCACACTCCCCTCTTCCACCCTATTGCGCCAGTGTCATGGCATAGTAGAGAGGACCGATGACAAAGTATGGAGCAGGTGGCTGGCACGTCATGAGCACGTGCCTAGGCGTGCGACCACACCCACTGCTCCGCGGAAAAAGTACCAGGATTTCACGCAACAAGAACAAGGGGCAGCTCGGATCTTAACTGAATGGGAGTGTCACGAAGGCCGCATTAAGAAGGAGTCATTGCAGTCTAACGCTCCGTCCTGAGAGGAAAACTAAGTAATCCCGTCAAGCTGGCGGACTTTCAAACCATGGTATTGAGTATGCCGCGATTGATTCAGGCACGAGGAAAATGCGTTGAGAGTTGACCTTGCTCTGTCGTCCCTTTCCCGTGCGCTGCAGAGCCGGCCAACCAACTGATGCTGAGCCTGACAGAGTTAGAGGCAGTCCGTTTGCGCGTGCCACACATACGACTTGGTCTCCCAACCAGCACAACAGGGTTTTGCGCAAAGGGGCGATGGGGTCCCACAAATAGCAGAACGGTCCTACGGCGGGCCGAAGAACGCATTTCCCATTTATGCGAGGGGTATCTAGTTCTTGCCTGCAGTGTGTGCTGACGGACGTGTTCATGTATGATGCATGTGCTGATGGGGAAATGTTCGGGTATGTGACCGTGTCCGCGGTTATTTACCCACATGTTTTCAGGAATGCTCATGCGATCGAATAAGTCTATGCGATGGCTGAGTATGCGAGGACAACTGGAGCAATGGTGACGAATGTATGTCGCTGCTCCAGGCATTGGTTCGCCAGCCTCTGTGTGATGGATTCACAAGTGACCCACCAGGCTAACGAATGACACGCATATACGGTGGCGGTGTGGGCAGGATAGGTTGGGATTTGCAGATTTAATTTCGGTGTTGATGATGACAGTGATGGCCACGCTGGTGGATGAAGAGTTGGCAGAGTTGGAGATAAGAGAGTTATCATGTGTGCAAACTGCGTGGCATGTCGATATTACGATGAATTCTGCCCTAATGAATACGCGTGTGACCGAGTAGGTCCATTCAGTCAGTGGGGGTGTTTGGACAGTGCGGATATTGAAGGCGCATTCGGCGAGCTTATACGGGGTCCCCCGGCACTGATTCGCCAGTATAAATGCGATTGCTTTCCAAGTGATCGACGACGCCGATGCAAAAGGCGAGCGTGCAATCGCAATGAGGGCTGGTTGTGGCCTAGTCCAAATTGCTCGCGGTAGTGGTTTTTGGGATGTGGGGAGAGTTCTCATCGGTTACGGCAAAACTGAAGGCGATAGTCACCGTTGTTGTCGTCACGGAGGCTCCGACAGTGATTATGGGGATGGCATTGATCGACGGTGACAAGGCATCCGAAGTGTGACCAACGGTGGTGGGGTTAGCAATCGTTTTGGACGCCGTGGAGGTTGGGGCAGGGGTGATGATGGAGAACGTTTGTGGGTGCAGTGAGTGGTATTTCGGGGTTTTTGTGGCGTTGGGTGCAAAGATGTATGACGAGGCCGACACGCGCGGAATGCTCGTTGGCAGCGTAGGCATGTTGGTAGGGGGTGATGGTTGACGTTGTGGATCGGAGGCCCATGGGATTTGCAGGTAGCTCTCTTAGCTCTGACTACGGCGGTCCAGTTGGTTTCATAGACTGCTACTGCTTCTCAGGCTGGTCGGTCCTGAGCAAATCCTCCCAGATCTCCGAGCTGGTTTACAAATGGTACAGAGGGTTCTTTAAGGGTGTCCTTATAGCATCCTATTTATTCTCCTTGAAGGCAAGCACCCGTAGCGACGTCTCCGCAGAGGAGTCGCTTGAGTACTCGCTCGCCGTCCATCCTTACGAGACGGCCGCTCCATTGCAGTTTCACTTGCTTCAGCATGGCGTGGATACCGAGGGTTCCGGTCTATTCCAAGACTTCCGTGCCGGAGATCACGTCTTGCCATCTCCGCTGTATCATTCTCCGAAGACGACTGAGAGCGAAATTGCTGAATTTCCGCGCTTGTTTCTTGTAGACCTTCCAGATCTCCGCTCCATACAGTTGTGTTGTCAAGATGAAAGCTCTGAACATCTTGAGCATGGTGGTCAGATAAAAATTGTGGCGGTTTCACACGGAGTCCCGCAGCCAACCGAAGACCTGGTTGGCTTTGGAGATCGGGTTGATCATTACATCGTCCATTTCGATGCTGTGTGAGAATGTACTACCTAAATGGGCGATATAAATTGCGGTTTTGAGTTGAGTGCCGTTGAAAGTTATGCAAGGGGCGTTGTAGTCAACGTGGGTTGACGACTGATGCATGGCCGCCGTTTTGTTCCCGTTGATGGTCAGCCTAACGCTGACGCAGTCGAGGTGGAAAGCCACGTGTTGGTCTTCCAACACCACAGTCCGAAGTTCTGGGCCCGGTATGTGGATGATCCCTTCATCGTCATCGAACGGGTTCAGGTGCTGACATTTAAAGAACATCTCAACACCGTCGTCCCGGACATTCATTTTACGATGGAGGAGGAAAAGAACAACCGGCTGGCCT